CAACTAAGAATAAACCCAAAAGACGGAACCAACAAAACTATGCACGGGAGTACAAAATGACGCACACAACCACCAAAACAGAAGAGCGAAAACAATAAAGAGACAACATCGTCCCCCACAAGAAACTCAAAACCAAAAAAAACAAGAACTAGCAAAAAAGATAAAGCAAAAACCACCCCAACACCCAACAAGTAAGGAAACTACAGGAAACAACGCAAACAATGAACAAAAAGAACAAAAGAACAAAACCAAAACAAACAAGAAAACAACACAATATAAAGAAAGACAAACCAAGCGAAAAAAAGTCCAGACAACACAAAACGCCTAAAAAAATGCACAGCCAGAAGACAGCCGCGAGAAAAAAAAAAGTCAACAACGCCGACAACGAATACCAGAAAACCACAACGCAAAACTGGTGAAAAAAGGAGATAAAGGACAAAGAACTTAACACGAAAACTAACCCAGCCACAATAAAGCAAGCATGAACAGCACCCAAAAGAGAACAAATAAGATGAAAAAAAAAGGAAGCATAACAGACGGAGGAAAACTACAGAGAAACAAAAAAAAAAATCAAAACGCAATGCAACAGACAGAAACATGCGATCCAGGGACGACACAACATGAAGCAAGAAGGGTACGCACGCAAAAGAGGAAGAAAAAGAAAGGAGCGCAAACGCTAAGCGAAAGACAAAACCAAGAAGGCACGGAGAAATAGAACAAAGCGGCCAAAACCAAAGATAAAGAACAAACACCTGAATAAACGCACGTAAGAAAAAGAAAACATAAAAAATGAACTTCGGGCGAAATAACAAAAAACAGGTCTGAAAGAAACGCACAATCACATCAAGCACCAGAGAGACAAGAGCCAAACAAAAAAAAAAAAGGAACAGGAGCAAGCCAAGAACACAAATAACATAACACCGGAAAAAACTTCCGAAAGAAAGAAGACGACGAAATAGATAGAGAAAGCCAAGAAAGCGCAAAAAGAAAAGCAACGAGACCAGGGGAAATGGTGTGGGAGGTATAGGTATAGATATGGCTAGAGAGCCGGTGATAATATAGTGTGGTGGGGGGTGCACATAAGATAGTGACTCCAGACCCCCAACAAAGAACCAATACTCGATAACAGAGGATAGAACAATACAACCGCAGCCAAAGAAAACCGAGCCTAGAGATCGTGAACAACACAGACTAGACATAACGGGCAGAAAAACCCCGTACAAACCGAGGCAAACAACGAAACACACACTAACTAATCACGAGGAACAAAACGACAATGCCGACGGGCAGGACGAGCCAAAATCACCTAAAAAAAGACAACCCAAGAGTCAAAAAGCAGGGCAAAACATCGCCAAGAAATCAAAGCATCTGATTCAAGCGTCCTCTCACACTGACCCACACAACGTCCCACCACCCCTCCTTTTGATTAGTTATTAAGGCTTTAGTCGGTGACTTTCCGAAATTCTGTACTCCTAAAATTTTTTTTACTAACACCTCACTTTTCCAGTTGGTTGTCATTTTCGTACTATTCTCGTTACCTTTCTATTTTTCACTCTCACTCTCTCCCACAATGCCACTTTCTGCCTGTTAACTTCTCCCCCCCCCGGTCTCGCCCCCAATCTCCAACCCCAAACCAACTTTACAACCCCCTTCCCCACCCAACAGCATTCCAAAACCAAAACCCCAACTCCCCACCCATCCCCCCTCTCCATCAAAACCACCGAACCAGTCGCATCGCCCGCCCTCTAACCCCCATCTCCCCCCGCTCTCCGCACCCACTCCAACCGAAAACCCACCACACACTGTCCCCCCCTGCCCGACCTCCCCCTCTCCCACCAAACCCACTTCCCCCCAGACGTCTTCTCCGCACACCGCGCCACACCACTCACACCCCTCTCCACAAATGGGGGGGGGAAAGAACAAACCATCAAAACAAAAAACAACAAAACAAAAAAAAAACGAAAAATAAAAAAATCAAACAAAAAACCCCCACACCAACCCTCATATCGCGACTCCCAACGCTCCAACGCCCACTCGAATGACACCCAACTTACGTATCACATTCCAACCGTATTTTTTTCCACTCGTTCCCCCCCCCCCCCCCTCCCCTCCAACTCCACAGCATAAAAACCACCTCCCCCCACCCCGTGCCCTCGTCCCAACCAAACCAACATTTATTGAAAGTCCCCCCCCATCAGGCCCCGCCACCTCCCTCTTACTTTATGCTCCAACCCCGCCCAACCCCCCCCACGAAATACGTCCCCCCCTCCACCCCTCCCCTCCTTCACACCACCCAATAAACCAAAAAATACAAAAACAAAATAAACCACTCTCCCCAACCTCCTCCCCTCCCTCCGTACACCGAAACCACACGGCATTCCCCCCTCCCCTCCACTCTTCCAAACCAAAAACCAACTCCCAAAGTCCCTTTCCCACCTCCCCCCCCTCCCCTCTTCCACACAAACCAATCCCCCCATCCCACCTCCCTCCCACCTAAACCACTCCCCAACCATCCCTCCCTCTCCACCACAAAACACCAACTCCCCCCTCCCCCTTCCTCCTCCACAAACCACCCCCTACACCACCATCAGCCCTTTCCTCCCTTTCCCTCACCATTCTACTTTCACCCAGGGTATGTTTCGCCGCTATCTTCCCTCTAAATCCTCCTCTCATTCTTTTTTTGTTTGTCCCCCAATACTCCACCAAACCACTACCCCCCTCCCCTCTCCACAAAACAACCACTCCCCCCCCTCCCCTCTCCGACAAAAACCAAAGTCACCCCCTACCCCTTCCTCTCTGCTTAATCCCACCACAAACCACTCCCCCCCTCCCGCTTCTCCCCTCTCCACAAAAACCACTTCCCCGCATCCCCCTCCGCCTCCCCTCATCGCCCACCCACCAAACCCCACTCCCACCTCCCCTCACCGTCTCCACCAAACCAGCTCTCCCCCCTCCCCTCCCCTCTCCACCACAAACCACACCCAACACCTCCCCCCTCCCCCTCTTCCGTGATCTCACACCAAAACCAACTATCGTACCCCACCTCCCCCATCCTCTTCTTTCCCCACACCCAAAACCACTCCCGACCTCCCCTCCCTCTCTTCCACCAAACCATCCCTCCTTTCCCCTCTGTTTCAGCACCCAAACCACTCTCCCCGACCCCCCTCACCCCTCCCTCCTCTCAAACTCAAACAACCCAGACTGCCCCCCTCCCCTCCCCTCTGCCACACCAACCAACCCAGATCCCACCTACCCCCTCCCTCTGCGCACCAAAACCAAAATCCCCCCTCCGACATGCCCGCGGCCCAGAGCACCCCTCCCTCTCCACCAACCCAACTCACCCCACCTCCACCTCCCACTCCACCAAACTCAACGTCCCCACAATTCCCGCCCTCTTCCCACCAAACCAACCCTATCATCCCCCTCCGCATCCCCTCCCTCTCCAAACCTAAAACCGAAACTTCCCAACCCTCCCCCTCCCTTGTGCGTAACCAGATTTTTTTGTGCGTAACCAGATTTGTCTGTGCGTAACCAGATTTGTTTGTGCGTAACCAGATTTGTTTGTGCGTAACCAGATTTGTTTGTGCGTAACCAGATTTGTTTGTGCGTAACCAGATTTGTTTGTGCGTAACCAGATTTGTTTGTGCGTAACCAGATTTGTTTGTGCGTAACCAGATTTGTTTGTGCGTAACCAGATTTGTTTGTGCGTAACCAGATTTGTTTGTGCGTATCCAGATTTGTTTGTGCGTAACCAGATTTGTTTGTGCGTAACCAGATTTGTTTGTGCGTATCCAGATTTGTTTGTGTGCGTAACCAAATTTGTTTGTTTGTGCGTAACCAGATTTGTTTGTGCGTAACCAGATTTGTTTGTGCGTAACCAGATTTGTTTGTGCGTAACCAGATTTGTTTGTGCGTAACCAGATTTGTTTGTGCGTAACCAGATTTTTTTGTGCGTAACCAGATTTGTCTGTGCGTAACCAGATTTTTTTGTGCGTAACCAGATTTGTTTGTGCGTAACCAGATTTGTTTGTGCGTAACCAGATTTTTTTGTGCGTAACCAGATTTGTCTGTGCGTAACCAGATTTGTTTGTGCGTAACCAGATTTGTTTGTGCGTAACCAGATTTGTTTGTGCGTAACCAGATTTGTTTGTGCGTAACCAGATTTGTTTGTGCGTAACCAGATTTGTTTGTGCGTAACCAGATTTGTTTGTGCGTAACCAGATTTGTTTGTGCGTATCCAGATTTGTTTGTGCGTAACCAGATTTGTTTGTGCGTAACCAAATTTGTTTGTTTGTGCGTAACCAGATTTGTTTGTGCGTAACCAGATTTGTTTGTGCGTAACCAGATTTTTTGTGCGTAACCAGATTTGTCTGTGCGTAACCAGATTTGTTTGTGCGTAACCAGATTTGTTTGTGCGTAACCAGATTTGTTTGTGCGTAACCAGATTTGTTTGTGCGTAACCAGATTTGTTTGTGCGTAACCAGATTTGTTTGTGCGTAACCAGATTTGTTTGTGCGTAACCAGATTTGTTTGTGCGTAACCAGATTTGTTTGTGCGTAACCAGATTTGTTTGTGCGTAACCAGATTTGTTTGTGCGTAACCAGATTTGTTTGTGAGTAACCAAATTTGTTTGTTTGTGCGTAACCAGATTTGTTTGTGCGTAACCAGATTTGTTTGTGCGTAACCAGATTTGTTTGTGCGTAACCAGATTTGTTTGTGCGTATCCAGATTTGTTTGTGCGTATCCAGATTTGTCTGTGCGTAACCAGATTTGTCTGTGCGTAACCAGATTTGTTTGTGCGTAACCAGATTTGTTTGTGCGTAACCAGATTTGTTTGTGCGTAACCAGATTTGTTTGTGCGTATCCAGATTTGTTTGTGCGTATCCAGATTTGTCTGTGCGTAACCAGATTTGTCTGTGCGTAACCAGATTTGTTTGTGCGTAACCAGATTTGTTTGTGCGTAACCAGATTTGTTTGTGCGTAACCAGATTTGTTTGTGCGTAACCAGATTTGTTTGTGCGTAACCAGATTTGTTTGTGCGTAACCAGATTTGTTTGTGCGTAACCAGATTTGTTTGTGCGTAACCAGATTTGTTTGTGCGTAACCAGATTTGTGTGTGTAGAAACAATATTTGTGCGTGTGTAAATAGATTTGTGTGTGCTTAATTAGTTCTGTGTGTGTGTAAACCAATAAATTGTACGTTTTACACACAAGTCTTTTGACGCAGTCCTACCTTCGCAGATTTGTAAGTGTACCTTGGACTGTGTGGATTTGTGTGTGCGTAATTTGACATTTGTAACAGAACAATCTGTGTGTAAATAACCACCAAGCAGAGAAACAAGAGCACTCAGATTACACACAACAAATTGAGTCTGTTATTTAAGATAAAATACAATATCATTTAAATAAGATAAAGAATAAAATGAAATAAAACAAAATAAACTCTGGAGCTGTAATGTCACTTGGTTCAGGAGTATCTACAGATGTGTATTGTTCTTAAGCAGAGAGAGAGAATATGAGCAGAGTAAGCATCAGTAATAATATCAACAGGTAAAGTGACTGATGAATCATTATCAGTGACACTTGTGCAGACTCAGCAGTTCTTGTTATAAATTCTCGTTGTACAGTGTGACAGCAGCAGGGAGAAAGGACCTGCAGAACCTCTCCTTCCCACAGCGAGGGTGAATGAGTCTGTCACTGAAGCTGCTCTCCAGAGCAGAGAGAGTGTCCTGCAGGGGGCGACAGTCATGGTCCAGATGTTAGTGTGTCCAGGACCCTCCTGTCCCCCCCCTGCTGCACTGTGTCCAGGGAACAGCCCAGGACTGAGCTGGACTTCCTGATGACCTTGTTCTTGATGTGTTTTACATGATGTTACATGTTGGCGATTATCCCCCCTGCTGGACTTGGAATCTGTCTAACTTTACACAACAACAAAAACATGAAAAATAAACCAATTAAATGATAATAACTAATATAACCATTAACAAAAAAGTAAAACAAAATCATACATAAATAAATTATTGAATAAAACATAATAAATCAAGAGATAACTAATTTAAAAAATGTGTCTCTATCTCAAACAAAATCATACATAAATAAACACTTAAATACAATACAATTAAATAAGAACAATTGGTTCAAACCAAAATGATTTAAATGTGTTTCTAAGAGTAAATTGAATAAAATAAAATAAGCTCGTCTGTGTGTTCACGTTTGTCCAGCAGGGGCGCTCTGTCCTCGTGGGCAGCGGAAGTAGCTCAGATCCAAAATGGCGGCGTTGTTTACATGTCTTCTCCTTCTGTTTTGTTTAACTTCATCTTTCAGAGAAGTGACAGCTCTGGGTCTGGTTTCAGAACCATGTTACAAACCGATCCGAGGCGTGTGGCCGGACTCTGTGAGGTACAAGGACAAAGTGTTCTCTGCGAGATGTTTGTGATTGTTTAAGATGTTTAACTTTTATGTTTATGTGTCACGTGCACTAGTGACGTAACTACGGGTTTTAGAAACATGTCATGATTTACACTGCCCAAAGAAGTACATGTCATTACAGGCTAATGCTAATAGCCTGCTTCAGTGCTTTATGTATTACACATGGATTTATAACAAGATGTACTTGTACACCTCCAGACAGGCTCTGTCTGCGCGGAGTGTGCATGTTCTACCCGTGTCTGCGCAGGATACCTCCAGGTGCTTCGGTTTCCCCGACTACTAAAACCATGGACAATAGTTAAAAAATAAAAGAGCATCAACCTTTGGAGATGGGACCACTGCTCCTGACTGGGAAAGGCTTTCAGGATGTATTTATTTACAGTAGCATCACATGCTAACATGTACAGTAGTATCACATGCTAACATGTACATGTACAGTAGTATCACATGCTAACATGTACAGTAGTATCACATGCTAACATGTACAGTAACTCTCTGGTCTTATTGGACGAGCACGTATCACCAGAGTGATTGAGGTGGACCAATAGCCTTGATGATCCACCAGGAAGTATAAAATCCTTCTCTATACCTTCAACATGTGAAACTATCTAAATATTCTTGAGTACAAAGTGTGCTGTACAAATAACCTGGTGTTTGCTGCGTTGCTCTCAGGACCCGCAGTCGTCCTCATGAGTCCCTGTCGGCCTCAGATCTCCCCGAGTCCTGGGACTGGAGGAACATGAAGGGGAAGAACTTTGTGAGTGTGACGAGGAACCAGCACATCCCTCAGTACTGCGGCTCCTGCTGGGCCATGGGGGCCACCAGTGCCCTGGCAGGTGAGCCACACACATGTCCATGGGAGCCACCAGTGCCCTGGCAGGTGAGCCACACACATGTCCATGGGAGCCACCAGTGCCCTGGCAGGTGAGCCACACACATGTCCATGGGAGCCACCAGTGCCCTGGCAGGTGAGCCACACACATGTCCATGGGAGCCACCAGTGCCCTGGCAGGTGAGCCACACACATGTCCATGGGAGCCACCAGTGCCCTGGCAGGTGAGCCACACACATGTCCCACTCGGTGCAGTCATATCTGGCCTCACTCTATGACCTTTGTGCTCAGGTCGAAATAATCCACCACAGATGATCGTACCAACGACTCAGGGCTGGTCAAGTTTTATTTATTTAACGTGTTTATATTTAGGGTGTATTTTAATCACTGTGGCGAGTCCGTTTGACCCACACGGGATGAAGGTTTAGAACCAGACGTCACCAGGAGGAGCCGGTGAAGTTTGATTATTATTTGATTCATCAGCTCATTATTTCCAACATTTTTATTATTATTATTATTTTAACATATCTTTTTGTTTATTCAGAATATAAATTAATACAAGCTCTCGTACAGACAACGCTTTAAGAAACAATACAAAAATTTAATAAAAAGGAGGATGGAGGTTTGGATAAAAAAGGAGAATATATTTATGAGTCACTCCCACATTCATAAAACACATGGTAAAGCTTTACTTAGTGGTTTATCTTTGACAGAACCATAGAGTGAGATACAGACTGTGCTGCCCTCGGCAATCAGGTAACAGCGTATCCAGTAATGCCCCTTACTTGTAAACCCGGACTTTAGGTTATACAAACCAAGCACCCCCTAAATCTAAAAGGTGACCGGACATAGAATATCCACAACCATATACATTTGAAACTTTTACAGAACATACATCTAAACACAGTCAGTTCTGAATTGTGAGTGGGATGGGCGGGTGTCCAGAGACAGCTTTATGCTACTAGTGGAAATATAGTTATGTTCACGTTAGGGGAGATGCGCGTCGGGGAGTTTCATTTGCTCTCTTGCTCTCTTCTATCTTCTCTTTTCGTCCTTTGACGTTCCTTTCTTTTCCCGTTCACCCGCTCTCTTTTGCGGAGGACTGTCTTTCTTGTCGTTCTTTGTGGTCAGGGGTTTTTTGGTTGCTCCTTACTTTTTCCGCCTTGTGTTTCGTTTTCTTCGGCTCGTTATTGCTCGCCTATGTCTCGGTGCACTCTCTATTCGGTTCCTTTTGTTTGTGCGTTTCTGGTGACTTTCTTGTCTTTGTTGGTTGTGTCGTTGGTATCGTTTTTTTGCGTGCTCGGTTCTTTTGCCGCTCTTGTGTCATGGTTCGTTGGTTTCTTGGTCTTCTTTTCTGTTGTTGTGGTGGTTCGCTGCTCTTTCCATTGGGTTTGGTTGCGGTGGTTTGGCCTTTTGTGCGTTTTTTTGTCTGTGGTCTTTTTTGTGGTTTTTGGTTTTTGTTCTCTTTGGTGGGGTTGTTTTGTTCTGGTTTTTGTTTGGGTCGTTTTCTTCGCGTGTGTTTATTTGGTTTTGCTTGTTTTTGTTTTGTTGTTTTTTTTTTGGATTGCTTCTTTTTTTTGTTATCTACTTTGGTGGGCTCTCGTGTGTGTTGCTGTTTTTGTTTTTGTTTTTGGGCTTTGGAGGGTTAGGTTCTTGGTTTTTGGTTGGTTTTTTTTTGGGTTGTTTTTGTTTGTTTGTTCTTGGGTGGTGTGGTGGGTGGGGGTTGGGGTGGTTGTTTTGGGGGGGTTTCTTGTTTGTGTGTGGTATTAGTTGAGATTTGGGTTTTCTTCCCTTTGGTATTGATTGTGGGTTCCTTTTTTTAATGCGGTTGTGTTTTTGTTTTTGTTTTGTTTGTGTTTTGTTTTTCTTTTTGTTTTTGTTCTGTTTTTTTGGTGTTTTTTTTTTTGTGTGTTTTTTTTTTTTGGTTTGTGTGTTTTTTTTTGTTTTGTTTTTGTGTGTTTGTTTTGAGTTTTTTGTTTTTTTTCTTTGTGTTGTTTTGTGTTCTTTTGTGTGGTTTGTGTTTTTGGTTTTTTGTTGTGTTTTTGTGTTTTGTGTTCTTTTGTTTGTTTTTGTGTTTGGTTGTTGTGTTTTTGTTTGTTGTTTTTTTTTGTTTTTTTTTGTTTGTTTTTTTTGTTTTTGTTTGTTTTTGTTGTTTTGTGTGTTTGTGTTTGTTGTTTGTGTTTGTTTGTTTTTTTTGTTTGTTCTTTTTTTGTTGTTTGTTGTTTTGTTTTGGTTTTTGGTTGTTTGTTGTTTTTGTGGTTTGTTGTTGTTTTTGTGTTTGTTTTTTGTCTTTTGTTTTGTTTGTGTTGTGGTTTTTTTTTGTTTGTTTTTTTTTGTTTTTGTGTTTTTGTTCTTTTTTTTGTGTTGGTTTTTTTTTTTGTTGTTTTTGTTTTGTTTTGTTGTTGTTTTTTTTTGTTTTGTGTGTTTGTTGTTGTTTTGTTTGTTTTTTTGTTTTTTTTTTTTTTGTGTTTTTTTTTTTTGTTTTTTTTGTTTGTTTGGTTGTTTTGTTTTTTTTTTTTGTTTGTTTTTTTGTGTTTGTTTTTGGTTGTTGTTTTTTGTTTTTTTGTTTTGTTGTTTGTTTTTTTTTTTTTTTTGTTTTTTTTTTTTTGTTGTTTTTGTTTTTTTTGTTTTTTGTTTTTTTTTTTTTTTTTTTGTTTTTTTTTTTGTTTTTTTTTGTTTTTGTTTGTTTTTTGTTTTTGTTTTGTTTTGGTTTTTTTTGTTTTGTTTTGTTTGGTTGTG